CCGCCTGGAGTGTCCTGACCAGTCCCTGGCCACCAGCCTCGGGAGATGCTGCCGCCCCGGGGGAGAGGACTGTGGGAGGCCCAGGAGGCCCCGGAGGCTGGAGCCAAGCCGGCACGTCAGGATCCTGAATCTCAGAGGCAGAGAGGCAGTGTGGCAGCTCTTCCAGGCTCTGCAGCTGCAGCGACAGGACCTGGGGAGGTGGGGGCGGGATGAAGGAGCGTGTGACATCCCCGAGCAGTGGCCCTGGGGCACGGCAGGTAAGACACCTGGCTTCCCCCTGGGGGACCTTGGGCAGCTCACCCAGCCGCCTGAGTTTCGGACTTCCCTCAAACCGGCTGGCACTGTGGTCCTGCCCACCTCCGGGGTCCTGAGCGGGAATGCACTCTGAGCCCTGCTGGTATTCGTGGTGTCGTTCCCGGCTCCCGGACCGGCCTCCTTCACTCCAGCTGGTGGGACAGAGGGGATCAGAGGTCTGGCTCTCCTGCTCCCTGCAGTGGAGGGGGGAGGGGCCACCATCTCTCACCTGCAGCCTGAGGCCCATTCCAGACACTTGGCCCAGATCCTGTCTGTGGGCCCCCAGGAAGCCGAGGCCGGGACCCCAGCCCATGGAAATCATCTGGCGTGACTTCCTCTAGGGACCAACAAGGCCCAGCGAGGGAGAGCGCCTTGCTCAGAGCCCCAGGGCCAGTTAGGGCAGAGCTAGCTTAAATTCTAACTTCCAGTTTAGTGTTCTCTTCACTGTCCCCCCCAACCGCCCGGGGAAGGCCTGTCCCAGGCTGCAGGCTCCTTGGGCTCTGCCGCCCCCTACCCCCCACCCCAGGGAGCTCTGGGCATCCTGTGAGTGTCCTCCCATCCCTGCACTGTCGTTTACGGGAAGTGCAGCCTTGAGCAAGTTACTCACTGTCCTTCAGCCCAGGCCTTGGTTGGCACCGTGGAGGTGGTCACAGACCCTCCCCCAGACCCCCCACCCCGTGCTCACACCAGGGCACCAGGCTGTGGGCCAGGAGCAGCTGGAGTAAGAGGAGGCAAGTGGGCAGTGGCATCTGGCAGTGTGGGGGCCGGGAGCCTCCCTGACTGCCAAGAGTGCATCAGGGGGAGGGCATGGGCAGGGCAGGGCTTGGAGGGGGAGGGGCTGGGGGGACACCGGGGAAGCTCTCAGTGTCCTTAAGTCACTCAGTCGTGTCCAACTCTTCACGACCCCATGGACTGTAGCATGACAGGTCTCCCTGTCCATCACCAACTCCCAGAGTTTAGCCAAACTCATGTCCATCGAGTCGGTGATGCCATTCAACCATCTCATCCTCTGTTGTCCCCTTCTCCCCCCGCCTTCAATCTGCCTCAGCATCAGGGTCTTTTCAAATGAGCCAGTTCTTCGCATCAGGTAGCCAAAGGACTGGAGTTTCAGCTTCAGCATCAGTCCTTCCGATGAATATTCAAGACTGATTTCCTTTAGGATTGACTGTTTTGATATCTTTGCAGTCCAAGGGACTCTCAAGAGTCTTCTCCAACACCACAGTTCAAAAGCATCAATTCTTCAGTGCTCAGCTTTCTTTATGGTCCAACTCTCACATCCATTCATGACTACTAGAAAAACCATAGCTTTGACTAGACAGACCTTTGTCGGCAAAGTAACATCGCTGCTTTTTAATATGCTGTCTAGGCTGGTCATAGCTTTTCTTCCAAGGAGCAAGTGTCTTAAATTTCATGGCTGCAGTCACCATCTGCAGTGATTTTGGAGCCCCCACCCCCCAAAAAAAAGTCTGTTTCCATTGTTTCCGCATCTATTTGCCATGAAATGATGGGACCAAATGCTATGATCTTAGTTTTCTGAATGTTGAGTTTTAAGCCAACTTTTTCACCCTCCTCTTTCACTTTCATCAAGAGGCTCTTTAGTTATTTCTGCCATAAGGGTGGTATCATCTGAGTATCTGAGGTTCTTGATATTTCTCCAGGCAACCTTGATTCCAGCTTGTGCTTCATCCAGCCCAGCATTTCTCATGATGTACTCTGCATATAAGTTAAATAAGCAGGGTGACAACATACAGCCTTGACGTACTTTCCCAATTTGGAAGCAGTCCTCTGTTCCATGTCCAGTTCTAACTGTTGCTTCCTGACCTGCACACAGATTTCTCAGGAGACAGGTCAGGTGGTCTGGTATTCCTATTTCTTGAAGAATTTTCCACAGTTTCTTGTGATCCACACAGTCAAAGGCTTTGGCATAGTCAATAAAGCAGAAGTAGATGTTTTTATAATATTCTCTTGCTTTTTCGATGATCCAGCAGATGTGCAATTTGATCTCTGGTTCCTCTGCCTTTTCTAAATCCAGCTTGAACATCTGGAAGTTCTCAGTTCACATACTGTTGAAACCTTGGTTTCAAACCTTGTCAAATGCTTGGAGCATTTTGAGCATCACTTTGCCAGTGTGTGAGATGAGTGCAATTGTGCGGTAGTTTCAGCATTCTTTGGCATTGCCCTTCTTTGGGACTGGAATGAATACTGACCTTTTTCAGTCCTGTGGCCACTGATGAGTTTTCCACATTTGTTGGCATGTTGAGTGCAGCACTTTCACAGCATCATCTTTTAGGATTTGAAATAGCTCAACTGGAATTCCATCATCTCCACTAGCTCTGTTGATAGTGATGCTTCCTAAGGCCCACGCGACTTCACATTCCAGGATGTCTGGTTCTAGGTGAGTGATCATACCATCAGGATTATCTGGGTCATGAAGATCTTTTTTGTACAGTTCTTCTGTGTATTCTTGCCACCTCTTCTTAATATCTTCTGCTTCTGTTAGGCCCATACCTAACTGAAGCGAGGGGAAGCCCTAGCACCCTCCTGAATCCCAGGCCTGGTGACCTGCCATCCCAGATGTGACCACCAGGTGGTGCCACAGGCTTTGCAGCGGGACCAGCAAACCGGCCCTTCGGTTAAGTGGGCTGCGTGGGGGCGGGGCGGGCATCTGGAGTTGGGACCACAGGGTGGGCACCAGCAGGTCCTCCGTCCCCCTCCGATCTCCCCGGGGTCCTATGGGAGACCCTCATGCTGCACTAGGAGCCCTGTCCCCAGCCTGGCGGAGGGGTGTCTCCCCCAGCCCCCAGCCCCCAGCCCCCACCCTCTGCCATCCTCAGCCTGGGGTCTTCAGTGTTGGGGCTCGGGCACGGGGTGTCACCAGGAGGGGCTTCCCAGGGGTGGTCAGGAGGCAGGCCACTGAGGTCTGGGTGTCCTTCACGGCCTTTGGGGGTGGGCGGTGGGCAGGACCAGCAGGATGCCACATTTCTCTGGCACTGCAGCCCGGGCCCGCTTAGGTGTCCTCAGCACCTTCCCCCCGGGGGCTCAGGAAGACAGGCAGACCCATCCCTTCTCCCTGGGCCAGGGTCCCCCTGAGGGTCAGGGAGTGCTGCCAGGGGCTTTGCCAGCGTGGAGCCCCCAGGGCCTGGCTCAGCGGCCCAAGCAGGACTGCAGACTGGCCCGTCGAGGACAGCATGGCCTTGGCCATGAGAGCCGACAGGGCGCTGGCAGAGGACGCCACGGCAGGCATGGGCAGAAGCTCCGACGGGACACCCAGCCGGTGGGGGCCCCTTCCACTCGGCCGAGCCCACCTCAGCCCAGAGCAGGCAGGTGGGTGGCCGGAGGACAGGGCGTGACGGGAGAACAGCCTCCTGGGACGTGGTGACGGAGACATGGGGTCAGGCTGGGCACAGGCCCCAGGAGGGTGACCCCAAGCAGGTGTGCACTTCTCAGTACCTCCCAGGGCAGCGGTCTTCTCACCCACCTGGGGCTGCAGCTGGCCAGCGCCAGCCTCCCCTGGGGGTGACTGCCCTGCGCAGCACAGCCCCAGATCTACCGCCAGGGTTGAGCTGGGCCAGCCTGCACCCCACCCTGGCCATCCTCTGTGGGGCTCTCTTCCCCCCATGGACCCCCAGCCCTGTTGTCTGCCCCTCACGCCCACCTCCTGGGGAAGCCGGGATGCCCTCCCAGCTCAAGGCCAGCTGCTGGGGGACGTGGGAGTCCCTGCTGGACGGGAGCCCAGCCCGTGCCGCCCCTGGAGCTGAGCCCCCGTTCACAGGTCAGCCAGGCACCCACAGGGCTGTGGACTCAGGGAGCCTGTAGCCGGCGCTGAGCGCCACTGCCGCCCGCTGTCCTGTGCCACCTCTGCAGCTGTCCCCACCAGGACAGCGAGCTGGAATGACCGTGTGTGCTCACGGCCCTCGGAGCTGGGGAGGGGTGGGGCGGGGCAGGGCCGTGGGGCAGTTGGCTCTGGGCGGGGGAGGGGGGCAGGCGAGCCCCTCCCACCGTTCCTGGGCTCTCGGGGGAAGGAGGCCCTGGTGCTGCTGAGCTTTCGGTTTTTTCAAACTCCTTCCTGAGAGGTGTTTTTTGTTTTTAAATGATTAGGGAGTTGGTCCACGGTGGCCCCTCCCGGCAGCATCTCAGGCACGGCCAAGCTCCCCGTCAGCGCCTGGGCGGGGGCCTGCCGGGCCCCTCTTCCTTCCCTGGCAGGACGCTGCTGGTCTCCCCCGGCAGTGGGGGAAGCCAGGCTTGCTCCTGCTTCCATAGGGCCGGGACCGGTCTGGCCACATCGTGGCGGGGAGGCGGGGAGGCGGGAGTGGGTTTAGCCCGGGAGGTGGGATGAGGCGTTCCCATTGTTCCAGGTGGCGGGGGTGCGGCTCTGTCGATCCCTGGAGACTGTGGCTAGTGGACCCGCCCGGCCCCCAGGCCCGGCCTCGCCCAGGGAGCTGCCACCGGGAGCCTTCTCTTCCAGATGTAGGCAAGGCCGCCCGGCCCCACCAGGAGGCCAGGCACAGGGTGTGGGCTCCGGACTCCCAGGAAAAGTGCGCTGGGTACGCACGACGCCGGCTGGAGGACCTCCCCGCCCCCGGGCCTGGGGCGGCTCTCACCCCCACCCCCCGCCCGCCTGCGTCAGGGGAGCTGCCCGAGCTTGCACCCCGCTTCCCAAGCGCTGAGACGCGGCTCCCAGCCTGCCTCCCCAAGCCGCCGGCAGCTCACGCCCTGTGATCTGGGTGCTCCCAGCCCTTCTCCGCGGGGACCGTGACGGCCGACTCCCTCCCGGCCGGCGGTGGACCGGCCCTGGCCGGGGAGGAGGGCGGCGGGCGGTAGACGCAGGGAGATGAGGCCGCGGGCAGGCAGGGCCTACTGGGATTCAGCAGGACCCTGCCCGCCCCGCAGGGGGGGCTGAGGACTAGAAAGAGGAAGGAGAGCGCCGCCCGCGCCGGCGGGTGAGGCCCGGAGGCTCTAAGCGCCGCGCGGCCGTGCGGGGCGGGGTCTGATGAGCACGTCCCTCGGCGGCTCATCCAGCCCAGGCGTCGGGCGGGGACCCTCCTGTCGCTCCGGCCCCACTCGAACGGGAGTGGGAGCCGCATCCCGCTGCCCGCGCTGGCCTGTGTCCCCCTCCCCCCGATGCCCCGGGGGCCAGCTTGCGTGTGCAAAGCCTTTTCTCGGCGGCCTTGCCCTCCTGGACATGGGCCGCTCAGAGTGTCCGCAGTGGAGGGCCCCTGGGTGCCCCCAGCGCGCTTTGGTGACTTCGCTGAGCTCGCAGGGTCCACTCGTGCCTCTGAGCTCTCCGCTTGCCCAAGTGTGGTGCCCGCTGGGGCCCCAGGAAGCTGGGCGCTGGGGGCTGGCGCTCTGCCCCTGGGGTGTTGACAGCCGAGGGTGAGTCTAAGTTGCCCAGGAGGCCGGCCCCCACCCTGGCCTGGGGAGGCGCAGTGGGGCCCGGCCCGGTGTTGGCAGCCGCTTGCTGCAGGCCTGGCCCGGGCCCCCCACAGTCACGAGAGCCTCAGCCTCGGCGCCCAACAGGCATCTCGCTGTGTGTGCCGGTGCCTCCCTGTCCAGGCAAGAGGCTGCAAAGGCGAGACTTCCGCATTTAGGGGCACCAGAAGTTTCCGTCCAAATAGTGGTGTTTGGGGACCTCCCAGGTGGTCCAGTGACTAAGACTCCACACTCCTAGTGCTGGGGCACCGGGTTCGATCCCTGGTCTGGGAACTAGATCCCACAGCCACAGCTAGAGAATCCACACGCAGCAACAAAATATCCCCCGTGTTGTAGCCAAGACCCAGCACAGCCAGATGAGCAAATGAATATTCAAATAACAGCATTTGAAACCTTAGTTCCAAAAGCAGATACAGAGTGGGCACCAGCAGGAACAGCCCTGCTCTGTGCCCAGGTCCAGGGGCCCTGGGGGCTCCGTGGGTTCCGAGAGACCCACTTTGAGGACCTGACACTGGGCCTGGTCCAGAGAGGGGTGTGGTTAGGGCACCAGGGACACCCCCTCACTGTGAAGGGGGCGGGCAGGAGGCCCTCACAGGCGGTCTTCTAGCAGGAGGGCCTGGAGGAAGTGACCAGGCACTCAGCGAGGACGTCTGTGTGCCCTGGGTCTTTACCGGCGACCGCGTATGCTCATGCCCCACAGGGGGTGTCCCTGCCAGTTGTACGGATGAGGAGGGGGCCCTGCCAGGACCCACAGCTGCCCCGAGGAGGGGGCCAGGTCGAGGTGAGGAGCGGGCACAAGGGAGAGTGAGCCCAGAGGGTGTCTGCTGGGCTGGGTCTTCCTGTCACCCAACAACCACCCACAGATGTGCCGGTCATGAGGTGGGCAATGTGTGCTGGCTGAAGTGGGGGGGCTGTCACCATGAGGTGTGGCTGTGCCCCCCCAGGATCCCAATCCCGGCCAGCCCCCCAGTGGGCAAGACCAGTCAGGAGGCCAGGGCCTCTCTGGCCTCCCCAGGGCAGGGCTTCTGGCTCCTTCCAGGGGAGCACCAAGCCTGGGCCCAGGTGTCTGTGCTGCTCTGAGGTGGAGCTGGGAGGGCAGGTCCACCCTGGGACTCAAACCCCTCGCAGGCTGTCACTGATGTGTGGGGTGAAGTGGGGAGAAACCTTGGGGCCAGTCTGAAGAAACACTTCAGAGGAGAAAAAGAATGTCAAAATATTGCAATATTTTTTGTATTGATTACATATTGAAGTGGCAATATTTTGGATATAAAATGTTGTTAAATAAACAGCATTATAAACAAATATAAAGGTGTTAAATAAAACCCCAGAGCTCCCCAGGGCCTGACGCCCAGGAGCCTCATCTCCACCCCTCTCTGCCTGGCCCCTGCCCCATGTTCTGGGAGCAGAGTTGGCGGGAAGGGGACCTGGGTGGGCTGGATGCCTCACCTGCCAGCCCAGATTCACCCAGGAGCAGGGAGGTGGGGGTGGGAGGAAAGTGCTGGAAAGGCTGAGGCTGAAGGCTGGGGAGGACTGAGGGCAGGGAACCTGGCAAGGTCAGGAAGAGGTGGGGAGGGAGGAGGAGGGGAGGGGGGGGAAGGAAGCAGGGGGGAGGGAAGGAAGTAGATGGGGGAGGGATGGAAGTGGGGGGAGGGAAGGAAGTGGAGGGGGAGGGAAGGAAGTAGATGGGGGAGGGAAGGAAGTGGAGGGGGAGGGGAGGAAGCAGAGGGGGAGGGGAGGAAGCGGAGGGGGAGGGGAGGAAGTAGAGGGGGAGGAGAGGAAGTAGATGGGGGAGGGGAGGAAGTAGATGGGGAGGGGAGGAAGTGGAGGGGGAGGGGAGGAAGCGGAGGGGGAGGGGAGGAAGCGGAGGGGGAGGGGAGGAAGTAGAGGGGGAGGGGAGGAAGTAGATGGGGGAGGGGAGGAAGTAGGGGGGGAGGGGAGGAAGTGGAGGGGGAGGGGAGGAAGCGGAGGGGGAGGGGAGGAAGCGGAGGGGGAGGGGAGGAAGTGGAGGGGGAGGGGAGGAAGTAGATGGGGGAGGGAAGGAAGTAGATGGGGGAGGAGAGGAAGTAGAGGGGGAGGGGAGGAAGCGGAGGGGGAGGGGAGGAAGTAGGGGGGGAGGGGAGGAAGTGGAGGGGGAGGGGAGGAAGTAGAGGGGGAGGGGAGGAAGTGGAGGGGGAGGGGAGGAAGTAGGGGGGGAGGGGAGGAAGCGGAGGGGGAGGGGAGGAAGCAGAGGGGGAGGGGAGGAAGTGGAGGGGGAGGGGAGGAAGTAGAGGGGAGGGGAGGAAGTAGATGGGGGAGGAGAGGAAGTAGAGGGGGAGGGGAGGAAGCGGAGGGGGAGGGGAGGAAGTAGGGGGGGAGGGGAGGAAGTGGAGGGGGAGGGGAGGAAGTAGAGGGGAGGGGAGGAAGTGGAGGGGGAGGGGAGGAAGTGGAGGGGGAGGGGAGGAAGTAGGGGGGGAGGGGAGGAAGTGGAGGGGGAGGGGAGGAAGTAGATGGGGGAGGGAAGGAAGTAGATGGGGGAGGAGAGGAAGTAGATGGGGAGGGGAGGAAGCGGAGGGGGAGGGGAGGAAGCGGAGGGGGAGGGGAGGAAGCGGAGGGGGAGGGGAGGAAGTAGAGGGGGAGGGGAGGAAGCGGAGGGGGAGGGGAGGAAGTAGAGGGGAGGGGAGGAAGCAGAGGGCAGAGGGATGTTTTATTGTTTTTCTGGGTCCACATCCCGCACTTCTCACCAGATACTCTCAGTGTCTGTATCTTGAACATCTGTGTTAATACCACACCAGCCTGTAGAGCACGGGGGTCAAACACTTCATAGAAGAAAAAGTATGTCAAAATATTGCAGTATTTTTTGTATTGATCACATACTGAAGTGATAATATTTTGGATGAAAGTGAAAGTCACTCAGTCATGTCTGACTCTGCGACCCCATGGACTACACTGTCCATGGAACTCTCCAGGCCAGAATACCGGAGTGGGTAGCCTTTCCCTTCTCCAGCGGATCTTCTCGACCCAGGAATCGAACCGGGGTCTCCTGTATTGTAGACGGATTCTTTACCAACTGAGCTGTCAGGGAAGCCCTACTATTTTGGATATATTGTGTTAAATTAAAATGTTGTTGAAATTAATTTCACTTGTTTCTTTTCACTTCTTTAAATGCAGCTGTTCAAAAACTTAAATTGCATGTGTGGGTCCCATCAAACTGGGCAGCTGTGATCTCCAGGTGTCTTTGGAGGCCCCGTCCAGCCCACAGCCTGCCCTGCCCTCCCCCGGACACGAGAGGTTGATCGTTGTCCTCGGCTCTCTGCTGCTGGAGACGTGGCCTGGCCTGCCCAAGGCCACCAGCTGAGTGGAATCAGGTGGGGAGGAAGCCGTGGATGTGACCCGGAGGCTGGGCCAGCAGGAGGGGCCTCTGCTGTGTGCGGGCGCGCTGTTCACACCGTTTACTTGTGACAGATACACACGTGGATAATATCATCTCCATCTTACATCTGAGGAGCCTGGGGCCCTGAGAGATTAGTGCACTCAGCCTGGGTCAAAGCTGGTGAGTGGCAGAGCTGTGATTCAGATAAACTTTATGGGACTTCAAAGCCTATACTCTTTACCCCCAGCTTGTCCCGTGGGGCGGTTTCTGAGTCCTGGAGGGCAGAGTGGGGTTTGGGAATTCCATCCACGTGGAGGGAGGGGGGAGCATCAAAGGTCCACGTGAGGAGGCACAGGACTGATGTTCTCAGAAGGTGTCCTGGGGCCTGTGTGGGTCTGGGCCTGGTTGGTGAGAAGGCTGACCCGCTGGGCCAAGGCCACCCAACGGCAGGCTGGACTCGGGGGCCAGACTCCTGGGAGGTGGCCCCTCTGCTCTCTAGGTGGTGACTACCTCCCAGACGGTCAGATGCAGCCAGACAGCTGTCCAAACCCCAGTCCTGGGCTGCAGGTCCCCAGGCCCTGGGTTCTGGGGAGGACGAGGAAGCAGAAGACGCGTTCCTGCCACTCGCTGTGTAACTGATGACTCTGGAGGTGACGGAGCCCTTCTGGCCTCCAGGAGGGTGGCCCGGCTGAGAGGCGGGTGTGGCCGCAGTCACACGGGGCCCTTGCTGCGCTGTGGCTTCAGTCTCCCAGGCCCCTCCTCTCTGGGCCTGGGGGGCCCCACTGGGTCCTGCCACCCGGCCTATCACTGCCCACTGCTGCGGGGAGCCCAGGTCTGCAGGGGGTGCGTCGGCCCTCACCGTTGCCCCCTCCCCATGCAGGCTCTTTCTCTCTAGTCAGGGGGCATCCCCACTGTGCCCCCAGGTCCGTCCTCAGAGCCTCTGTGAACGACCTCCCTCCCCCCGCCTGGGACACTCGCCCTCGGAGTCCTGCTCAGCTGCCCCCTGGACCCCTGCTCTGAGCTCTGTTGGCGGCTTTCTGGCTGCACCAGGCTCCTGTCCAGCCCATGCTGTCTGCACGTGGTCTGGGCTCTGCCGTGCCCTGCCCCTGCTCTCTCTCTCTGGCCTCAGTTTCCGCACCCATAAGATGGGGTGACACCACCTACCCACCTACCCTACAAACCTAGGAAGGTTGGATCCATGGAATGCCTGGTAAGCCAGAGGCTCCAAGCCTGCCCGTCTTCAAGGTCCAGTGAGACTCGTCTCCCACCAGAAGCCTCCTTCCATGTCCGCCGACCCGTGATTGG